CCGTATTCGGAACCCCAAGACGGGTCGGGCGGCAAGTACCCGGCTCCTTGGCGCCCCAGCTGTAGCACCACTGCATGCGGGCGGCCGTACGATACCCGAGGAAGACCTCCACTTGCCCAAGTCGCCGCAAGTGCAAGTGATGCCGTACCCGCCGTCTCCAAGACGCGCGATGGTGCCGGCAACAGCGGCAACGGTGGAGCGGCAGTCGTTGTTGTCGGGAGACGCCGCCGCCGCCGCCGCTGCTCCCGATAGCGCCGCTGACGCGGCGGCCATGGACGGTACGGCAAGTAGGTCGCCACCAAGTACGGGACTGGGCTTCTTCACGCAGGTTCGATCGTTGCGCCGCGCCTCCGACGGACGGTTTACGGAATCGAGTCTCGAGCCGTCGGAAAGCGGCTGTACAACAACATCGAACCCTGAGGTCTGGGTTTCGGAGCCCCCGCAGGGTGAAGGATTGTACGAACAACGCCGCAACACGGAGTCGTACGACAGCACCTTGGCAGCCCCACACCGCAGCAGCCGTGGCCCCCGAGCAGTAATGTCTCTGGAGGATATGGGCTGATCTGCGACCAGCCCCGGGAGTCCGTTGGCAGTTGACAGCTGTAGGTTGGCGGTTGGCCGTTAGAAGGGAAGCTAAATGCTCATGCTGGGTAGGCCGACTCGGTTGCGCGCGGATAGCCAACTGCGGTGTGCATGAGGGAGATGACCCCCGGGGGGACCCCAGGATGATCGTGGGAATAACGGGGGGAGGGGTGGAAGGTAAGGAAGGTAAGGAAGGAAATGCATGCGCGTGTGTACACGGCGCTACTTCGGAGGCTGGGGCCGGGAAGGGGGGGAGCGCGCTGGGGCCTTATACCCCCTGGTAGGGGTGTTGTGCTTCCTGTCGGAGCTGGTCCGATTGGATTTAGAGGTTGGGGGTTGACGGGTTGGGGTGGTGCGGGTGGGGTGGGGGTGATGGTGGTAATGGTCGGAGAGCTTCTTGTCAACGAGGAGGAGTATGCCGTACACCTCACTGGCATGGTGAGCATGCCGTACGGGATGTACGGGTTTTGGTTTGTGTTCGTTCCGAAACCTGGTGGTGGATGATGGAACTCTTGCCGGTGTGCACCTGAGGGCGATGAGGCCGTCGACTTCCCAGGGGTCCCCTTAGGTTGTGAGTATTCGTTGTTGTTCTCCAAAATTCGAAATTTACGAAGGACCCGTTTATTCATCCCGCGCGCACTGCGGACATTATGTTATTCGATTGCTTCACTGTCGAAGCGGCGGTGCATTACATATGAGTTTGACACCCACCAGCACCGCATCATTATCATTAATTATCATCACCGTCATCATTATCATTCTCAACCAGCAACGTAAGCGGCGGCGGAGGCTCTTTGGCTGAGAGGCTGACGTGGTTGCAGTCCTCTACTCTTGGACGTCCTCCCGAATCTCTTCTGCTCCCAAACCATCGGCCTTGGCAACTGCACCGGAAAAATCAATTGGATTTGGAGCTAGTGGGCTCTTTTAAGCACAGGGCTCCGCGAGCAGGTGTGCCTGTCTGAGGAGTTGGGGCCCCAAGAGGAGTCGCTTGGGTGGGCGGCGAGGGCAGGGAACCAAAGACCATCCCCAATACCAATACCGCAACAGAAGGGAAGAGGGGGGGGCGGAGGCGCGAGCGCGGACGGAGAACCTGAGATCGTCGCGTGCTGGGGGGGATATGGGGTTGGGGTTGGGGTTGGGGTTTCAGCGGGGTGGTGAAATGTTGGGGGTTTTGGCAGGGTAGCAGGGTAGCGGGGTGTGGGAAAGATCTGGGCCCGGAGACTGGGAGGTTTGTTTTTGGGTTGGGGATCCTGGAAGAAGGGCAGCCATATGTGCGTGCCTGCGGTCAAGTGAAGGGTGGCGGTAGATTACCTAAGAAAAACGCTTGTACGGCAATACACAAATTGTTTTCAATATAACCCTGATCCGGCGCGAGGGCCCGAGTGTGCACGCATTCGTACGCACCATGTACGACAACGACGATAATTCCTCGTATATATACCAAGTCACTTGTGCGCTTTATCATTCGTGTGTACATATGTGTTTTGTGTGCGCGCGTTTGAAGGTATGTGACTTGTGTGGCTAAGTGCGCCTGTACCGTGCGTGTATTTGTATATATATGTATGTATGTATGGTATGTATGTAAGCATAGAGGGAGGGAGGGCGCATTTCCCAGTGACAATTGAAAATGCAATTCGCGTTGTGCCAGGCCGTGCGCCGAGGAAGCGATTGTCCCGCACAACAAGCCGCGGATTGCTGTGTGGTAGCAATCCCACCTTTCCCAACCAGACAGTGGACTTGGTTCGTGCTCTCATGCTATGGTCTACTTGTCTTTTCTCGCGCGGTAGACGACGACTTCCTTTCAGAGCACCGACCGCAACATTTCTGACACTTTCACACAAGAGAAAAGGAACTTCCTTTTCTCCGTGGCTTTTATTAGGCGTTGTAGTGTTGCCCTTGGGGCTTCGGCTCGTATGGGTAGTTTTACAGGTATGGGGTCACACACCCCCAACCATGTAACACACACACACACACACACACACACACACACACACACACACACACACACACACACACAAGAGAGAACATAACCATAACACGACAACCATCCACACGGCGGGGCAATCGATGGCCATTCGGATAGTGGACAGCGTTAGTATCCCCCCCCCTTTTGGTCGTCATCGTCGTCTCGTCGCCGTCCTGGACTAATCTGCGCCCATCACTGCCCATCACTGCACGTTCATGCTATAACGCACACAATGGCTGCTGTCGGTGGCATTACCACCGCATCTTGTCAACAACGTGACCGCCATCGCTGCTGCTGGCCCCCCGCATCCTGACCCAAAACGTAAAAATTCGGCCCAGGATGTCACCACACCCTCTCAGACCGGGACTCCACTGGCGGCACACCGCAGTGCCGCGGGGCTGCCTGGGTGGCGGTGGGTAAGGTAGTTGGGGTAAGCCATGACTGCGGCCCTGACCGCCCTGGCCGCCACGGGGCCGCCACCCACCAGCCCATGTGACCTCTGGACCTGAGGGAAGGACCTCGGCCCCACCCACCCACCCACCCACCCACTCTGATGAGTGACGACTCCGGCAAGAACGCCTGTATGGCTCCTGTACACGTGTGCTCACATACATATGCATGCATACGTAGATACGTTCATACATACATGCATGCATGCATACATACATACACACATACATGCAAACATACGTAAAGGGCGCAAGAAAGTAAATGTTTATGCCGCTTCCCGGCTGTTGCCCTCTTACGGCCTCTCCACCTGCTGCACCTTTCCAAAACACCATGGTGCACACACACACGCATGCATGCACACATGCACACACGCATGCATGCATGCATGCATGGCAAATCACATCCAATGCGCATCAAAAGGTCATATGCCACGCCAGGAAAACCGTTATGCAAACACAGCAACAATCCACACAGCTACACAAGCCCCGGGCCCCATGATCCCGCACGAGAGAACCTTTATAGGCTCTCCTCGCCTTGACGCCGGTGGCGGCGGAGGTGCGCTTTGGTGAGCATCTGAACCAGGACACCACTCATCTGCCGCTCCCACCACCACCAGTACCACCACCACCTGCTGCCATAGCGGCGCTCCCGTCCGGGAAGGAAGGGGTATCCCTCTGGTGGATACTGGACAGGGGGCAAAGCCGCTTCCCTTTCTTTCTATTCCAAATCTCTCGTGATGAAATTTAAGAGACATACTGTACTCACCATTTACATCGACTTTGCAGCCCGAGCCCAATCCCACCTGATTCTGCTGCAGGCGGGAACCGCTTTCCAAAGCTGTCCCCCTCCCCCTCCCCCTCCCCCACCGCCATAGCAACAAGCCCCTAACCGCCGTGTGCTGTCCCAGTTACCCCACACGCTGGCGCGGCCCCCTCTCCCCAACATTAATCCCTTCCTCCAGGACACCTCCGAAATGCCCTTTTTTTGCCAATTCTCTGTCAGTTTGCAATGCTTTCCCAGCGTTAACAAACGCAGTACTAGGTTACGTCGACTGTACAGCAAGGCAGTACTAGGTTACGTTAACGGTACGACTGTACAGCAAGGCGGCTGACGTGGAATCGCCGCACGGCAAGGTTGCACGCGAAGAGATCAGGTAAAGTTGAAGTTGCGCTCCTTGGTCCCCTTCACCTCGACGGCCTTAAGCGTCACGGTGGAGGTAGGCAGGTAGTCCGTAGAAATGCCTTTGTAACCCTGAGAGAAATACCACCATCATCGCCAGCAGCAGGGTCGGCAGCAGCAGGAGCAGCAGCAGGATCAGGGTCGGCAGCAGAAGCAGAAGCAGGAGCAAAAACATCACCACGCCAGCATCAGTATCAACACAATACGACACACAACAGCACAATACGACAAAAGCCTTGCATTGTGGTTTGGGCATCAGCAACATCCGACAGCAATACGACAGCAAAGTACGAAAACAGTTTCACCCAGATGAACACGACGCAAATCACAATCATACGATGATGGCAAACCACGACCCAAATCGCAACCGAGCACGGCAGCACACTAAGTCACTCATACGCACTCTATGGCACACCCCTAGCGGCCACGCAGCATGGTGCCACCCGGCCTTGGACCCACCATCGTCGCCTTCTCTGTCTTGGGCCACGTGGGGTTCTCCTTGGGCCACCTGGGCGATGAGTTCATGTAGACGGGGGCGGTTCCCGAGTTGTTGAAGGCATTATTGATCTTGGGCACACCTGCACGAGGCAGCAAATGGGGGGCCGCCAAGGGGGCCTGGTAAGGAGCGTGTGAAGAGGCAGCGAGTGCCAAAGGATATGGGCTGGTGAGCTTCGTGAGCGGATCAGGATTCGCGAGGAGGAGGAGGAGTCCGCTGCTGCTAGGCCTTGTGTTGGGCCTGGTGCAGACCACTGCGATGTTGCTTATGGTGGGTAGAGGCGCTGGTACTGCTGTCCAGAAGGAAATGGCTGGCAAGAGTGAGTGTGTGTGTATGTGTGTATGTGGAGGGGGGCTAAGGTGCAGAGGAGGGGGAAAACGCAACCCAGATGCAATGCGTAAAAAAATATGCTCCTGGGATTGTGCTGATGGAAGGAAAGGGGACTGCTGTTCAAAGGAGTCCCTAAAAGGGGTTGGTTGATTTGACACGAGCCCAACCCCGTCCCCGTCCCGGCTTCTTAAGAATGGGTATAGGTTGGACTGAGGATTATTCTCATATGATGGGATTGAGGCGCAAGGCATCGGAAGGAGCAGCAGGGTACACCGGAGGGGATGGAAAGCACTAGTGCCATCGTGGAAGGGGAGCGACAAGGGCGAGGCTGGCGCCACGATGCTCTGAAGGCATTACCGGGTTGACTCAGAGACGCACCCGGCTTAAGGTGCCCGCTATCATCGGCGATGAATTCTGTCTTGCCAGTGCGTGGGATAAGGGTGCCAAATCGTGTGCCTGTTGTCGTTTGCACGGCCTGTAGTGAAGATAAAATAGGGTTACCTGCGCGGCCATGTGCCAATCATAGTCTAGTGAGGCATCCACACACCTTAGATTTATCTTCTGCTGGCACCTCCCAGTTCTGTAGTCGACGTGCATTATAGGCCGCCTCTATTTGCTCGCCTGGGAAAGAGCGTGACATCGTCGCAACAAGTTGTATCGCTTTTTAGACGGGGCTTGGATTTGCAAAGGGCTCTGGATATCAGCTGCTGAGCTTGAGAAATTATAGGAAACACTAAGCTGTGTGCGTCGCAAAAAGCCGCACTCTAAGTACGGCGTATACGACAACATGTTGCTCTTCAGTTGTGGTTTCAGTTGTGAGTCCCTACGCGTAAAGCTTACTTCCTTTTTAACCTTCTGGAACTCAGCGGTGAAATTTTTCCGTGTAGATACCGCGCTGCTTGGAAATGCTACGACAGCCAGGAGTCCCGGAGGGTTCAGAAGTCCCCTACCATGACCCCGTTCAGCAACTTCTGCTTTTGGAAGATATGCTTCTGTTGTCACGGTATGAGGAGGCAGCACAGGCTTCTTTAACGCTAGTTCCGCGGTTTTCCGGGGGTGGAAAAGCTTCCGATTCCCTCCTTCAACGAGTTCTGGTGACAGCGTTTCAGGCTCACTTCTTCATCGGCAGGTAACCGGGCTCCTCTTGCGCGCTGCTGGGATGTTTAGATGGATACCAGCTCACCCGGATGCTTTCGCTCCTTAATGGATGCAGGCAGGACGATGTCGACGCTCTCGTGGATAGTCTAGGCCCTAGCAGGCTTGCTGTTCCAACCTTTATGGCCTGGTACGTAGGGCGGTGAGGTTTGAATTATCGGATACTTGAGGTTCGATGCCGCTGCTGCTGCTGCTAATTACAGTCGGTATTCGGTGATGTGTACATCAACAGCGCTTCCGTGGCCAGAAGTTGGGTTGAGACGAAGTTTGGTCGTGACGAAGTTGGGATGAGACGACCAAGGGGGGCTGATGTGGGACTCTTTCCATCCTCCCAGGTGAAGCCGATGCGGCTGGCCACATGGAGCAAGCAGTTAGTAGCAGCCAGGCCTACTCCAATTGTGTACATCACTTTAACCGCTGAGACTTACTTTCTCTGGCGGATCTCGCCCCCTCAAGTTATTCTGTTGCATGTTAATGCTTTGAACCATTTCCTTGCAATCTTTGGATGGGTGGATGCACCTCCATCCATCCCTTGGTTTTCCATCGCCTGTCTCATCTACGCCTACCACATCACCTCCACCTCATCCTGGCCTACCACACCCCCCTGCAGTGCAAGTGTCCTACAGTAGTCACGCGGCCGCTCAATGTAAACGGTTTCCGTCTGCCTGCCCTCTCCTCCGTCCCCCTGCTTGCCAACTTAATCGGCCCCATCCTCCCAACCCCGACTCAGGGCCCTGCTACTTCTGGAGTCCGGCCAAGCCGCCGCGGCGCGTCTTCGAGTGGAGCAGTACATGGCCACCCTTATGACCCTCATGCGCCACAAATGCATCAGTTCCGGTGTAGAGCGCCAGCACCGAGACCAGGATCCGAATCCGGATCAAGACCCTCGGCGAGGAGGATACCAGACGGTCAACAGCACCAGCGCCACAACCGCGATGGAGGCACCACTGCCGCCGCCGACGCCAACACATTCCCATGGCGGTGCGGACGACGCAGCTGCAGCTCCCCCTTCGGCTTCTCCCCCAGTCGATGGATCTGGAACTCGGGACGCGGCTGCAGAGTCTGCCGGGGGAGATGCAGATGTGGGTGCGGCGGCGGCGAGCTTGCAGGACCGGGCGGCCCTGGCGCGACTGTACACACAGGACGTGCTGTGCCTGGGGCTGGGCCGGCCGCTGGAGGCGCTGCAATGGCTGCAGCAGCCCCGGGCTCAGACCGGGGCTCATAATACCTGTCTACCAGCAGAGCAGCCGTCACAGCACCACCACCACCACCAGCAGCAGTGGCAGCGGCAGTTTTCTGTAGGCAAGGAGCCAAGCGGGTGCACGCACCCGCTGCAGGGGCGTTCCAAAGCCGCTGCTGTGGCTGCGACGGAAGCGGCGGCGGCAGCGGGGACAGGAACGGCGGAAGCCGGGTCGGCAGAAGAAGTGAATGCTGTAGAGCTGCTGGGGGGCTGCGAGGACACGTTGCAGCAGCTGCGGGACGAGCTGAAGCGGCTCATTGCGATATCTGGACTGACGCCCCCGGAAGGTCTGCCTGATGAAGGGACAGCTGCCGCCGCCGCCGCCACCACCGCCGGTGGCGGCGGCAGGGGAAGTAGTGAAGCCAGCACGGACTCGGCATCCGCCGCTGGTGCGACTGGCCTAGCCATGACCAACAGCAGCAGCGGCACTACCCGCAAATGTTCCTCAGATACAACAGTGAAGGGCGGTGTAGACGGGAATAGCGGCCGGCTAGGCCGCAGCGCCAGAGATGGCACGGAGGTTGTGCAGGGGTGCCGTCCATCCCTGGCAAGTCAGCTGCTCATGGGGATACGTGCAGGACCTAGTTCTGGTGCCACTGCTTCCGCTACGGCAGCAAGGGCGTTATCTTTTCTCCGAACTTTGGCGGCGGCCATGCAAGAGATTATACGGCGGCTGATCATCGGCACGGGCGTGCAGCTAACAAGGGCACAGTCGTGGATTGTTTGCAAGGCCGCTGCGGTCGCAGCGCATTTGAGGGTCAAAAACAGCAGCAATAGCAGGAGCACCGGCGGCAATAGTCTCTGGTGCTCAGGAAGCGTATCGTCCCTAGGCCGCGTGGCGGTAGCGATGGCGATGGCGGCGGTAGTGCTGGTGGCGGCACAAGCAGAAGCGCCGTACGTCCGTACAAACGTGGAACGGCAGTTGGGTCGTCTGACGAGGATGGTTGGGGAGGCGGTACGGATGGGTTTGTCGCTACATCCTAGCCCGGTGGCGACCGCGGGATTCACGCAGGTTGCACGATAACCAATTGTGCCGTGCGAAGATGGCGGCAGTAGCAGTCAGACTGCTCCCAACCAGTGACCCGGGGTGTGCGTGTGTGTGTTCGTGCGCTACCTCCCACGTCGTCGCTTTCTGTCCCTTCTTCCTCATGTAATCAATGATGAAAGTTAGTTACGAAGGCCGTCTCACAACCAACCTCAGCACGCGCTGCGGCACAGGCAGCCTTATGCACCATTTGCAAGTGCGGCTTGGCCCGCCCTGGGTGAGTCTTTACATCTCCCGGGCGCCCCTCCCCTTGAAGGGCAGTCTTCTCGAGCGCAGAAACGGAACCCCGCAAACTTGGCTGCGACCTCCCGCTTCGACCCGGAGACCACTACTACTCGGCACATCCTAAGCCCACATCCAAAGGTCGTTGGCTGTGAGTGTGTTACTCCGTGACTGTGTTACTCTACCTATCTATAATTGGCTCTTCAATGGAGCAATGGCACAGCACAGCACAGCGGGGTCTGTCTGTATGTACACCACCCACCAGAGACATGGTGATGCCCCCTCCCGCACGTCACACAACACAAACCGGTGACAGCAATACCCCCCCGCCGCCGCCGCCACCGCCGTCGCTGCCCCTGCCGATATACCCGCGTGAAGGCTGCCACGTCGGCCGGCTTACATGGCAGACCCCGCAGCTACCGCCGCCGTCGTCGCTGCCGGTGTAGCGGTCGTCGCCGTTGTCGTACCCGCCGTGTCCGTCCCCATCGCGACGCTATCCAATAGCTCCAAGAGCGCCGGCATGCGCTTTTGTAAATTGGACTTGTACTGCAGGTGCTCGTACGGTAGGTCGCGTAGCGCGCCCGCCAGCGCCGCCGCCACTCGGGGTCGGCCCTGTACGGCCTGCCTCAGCGGCTGCATGTACGTACGGATGGTGAATACCACATAGCCCGTACGGGAAAGTCTGCGGGGGCGGGGGCCAGGGGGACTGTGGGCAACTACGGAGGCGTGTACATGTGCGCACGCGTGTGTGTATATGTGCGTGTGTGTATGTGTGTGTACGTGTGTGTATGTGTGTGTATTTGGGGTTCCCTACACCCCCTTACTTTTAGAATACTACGGATGTTTTTTCTGTTTCCTTTACGCACTTTGTTTTAGTCTCGGCAGCTAGGTAGATAGTTTTACGCTACATCTTCATGACTACTAACATCACCGCGAAGACTGCTTCTTCCCAAGTCACGACGGGTTAGTTACTTGTTGCGCACGTCCGGCTTCGTCCTCCTGGGCATCAGCTTCACTCGTTCACGTGGTTCGTCTTCCCCACCTCCTGCCACCATCACCCCGCCCCATGCCCTCTTCGCAGCTTTCAAACCAAAACCACCAACAACAAAAAAACAAACACCAACCAAAACACACCTCTTTTGACCGCACAAATCCCCGCCTCCCTCTTGCCAGGGCTCCAACCAACCTAGCAACTAACCTAACTAACAACAAACCGATCAACTAACCTAACTAACAACAAACCGATCCACTAACCTAACTACCTACTCACCCACCAAGCCCAGCCCCCTACTCCGCCACTACCTGTGGAAGTACTGCCTCTCCAACCTGAGCTGCAGAACGTCTGCGGTGTCAGCATTGTCCTTGGCAGCTCCAGGGGGGGGGACTTGGTCCACTGGGGGGGGCGAGTAGAACCTGGAGAGGAGGGAGAGGGGGGCGGGGGAAAGACGAACCACGTGAACGAGTGAAGCTGCTGCCAGGGCAAGAGTGTACCAGACGTAGAACTGACCAGTAGAGCGTTCTTGAAGGCGGCGACCTCGGGATGATGTAGTGAAGATGATGTCGGAAAAACTACCTACCTAGCCGCCAAGGCTAAAATAAGCGCGGGAGAAAAGCAGTAATAAGGCCGTAAAGGTAGGTGTAGAGGCGGCGGAAAAGTAGTAAAAAACCTGCTGACGTCAAGCTGGAAGAAAGTTTGCCGCCGGGGAGGGGGGGGAGGCCCGTGTGTGGGGGGAGGGGGGGGGAAGAGAGGGGCATGGGATGAAAAATAAAGCGTTGGTACGGAGGCCAACACGCACCGGCTGACGTAGGCGTCCAAAAAACAATTGGGTGCATCTGGGTTGAGGGGGGTGGGGGGAGGTGGGAGGTATGTCGGAGCAAGTGCGGAACCCTAAGTCAACTGCTGGTCAACAACCCTCATACCCCCTCCTGGGGGCCCCCCAAACCCACGCCCCACGCCCCACACCCCACGCCCCCCACCCCTCCCCCCACCCCCCCCACCCCCACCTGGACAAGTGCAACTCAGTGGTGGCGGACAGGGTCCAGTTCCAGCGCATGAAGGGCTGCTCGCAAGTCAGTCGGGACATGAAGCGGTCCACCAGGCGGGCAGCATCGGACCTGCGTGACGGGACGATAAAGATATCAGTATACGCCGTACACCGTACATCGTACACCGGCGCAGGTGGGGATAGGAGATCACGTGGTCGACCACGGTGGACGTAGCACGATGATCCGCGCACCAGGATTGCCAATCGATACCGTGCTAACGAGATTGGATTGGAGGGGTGTATTGTAGAGAGTGCATGCGTGGGTATGCCGTACACATACATACACACACGCAGCCCCTACTCCCTTTCCCCCCTTTCACACACACACACACCCAAGCCCCCCCCGCACCCGCCTCCATCGGGGCACCGGGTCATGTATATCCGGCAGCTCCATCCCTAGCTTCTCCAGCACGCTCCAGTGCGCGGGGAAACACACCACTCCCCCCACCAGCCGGTAGGAGGAGGATCCCGGTGCACCGCCATCACCGCCACCACCACCACCGCCACCAGGATCAGAATCAGGAGGTGCCAGAAGGCAGTAGTCCTCCTAGGGGGATTGGGAAATGGGACCCGCATGCAGAAGGGAAGGAAAGAGAGGGAAAAGGGGGAGAATTACCGTAGCGGAACTAAAGATTTTACAAAATAAATAATTATTTGCATGCGGTAAAATGTTTTGGCAAAATTCAGAGTCTTTCTGTAAAATCTTTAGTTCCCGGGAGGGAATTCGGAGCGATGCCGTAAAATACATATGGCCCTTCACGCACAACAGGCTTTTGGCACTACCTCTTATATTATTTTACACAGAATATTGTAACATATCACTATATCAACCTATTTCTGGCAGCAGCATGGGCAAGCGCAAGCTCACCAAACACCGCTTCATTGACAAGCTGCCGGCCATACCATACCATATACGGCAATGCTCTCGCGTCCTTCATCAATCATAAGAATTCTGCGGCTGCTACAGAATGGTGGATGTTTGGAGGCCGTGTCACGGTGGCTTGGCTTCCAGATGGGGGTTTACAATTCGGAGATTCTTAGTTTGAGACGTGTCGTGATGATTCTCATTGCCCCTTATGCGTGAGAGGGAGGCGGGCAGTGGTGTTGCATGGTTGGGTAGCTTTGCGGGCCGGTAAAATCCCAGGAAATCATCCACAGTACCGTAAAATCTTGGCAAAATCCGCCAGCATGCGGTAAAATACTTCGTTCCGTAAAATATATTAAAATCCATAATTTTGCGGTAAAATCTTTATTTTGTAAAATCTTTAGTTCCGCTACGGTAGTTACAGATGCGTTGTACATATACCGTACAAATGCTGTATCGTACATACCTGTGTGATTCTGCCTATTACTTCCAGGGGCTCCACTCCAGGGGCGGCCGTGTCGAAGGACTCGCCTGTCCAGGGGTTGGGGGGGGGTGGCGGCGGGAACAGAGCTGGATCGCTCAGAGGAGGCCGGGCTCGGACTTCAACTTGGGGCGGGTTGGGTTGGGTTGGGTTGGGAATCCGTTTCCGGGTATTCCACAATACCCGGGAATTCCATAAATTACCTATGTACTTATTATTTATTTATTTATTTATTTGTTTATTTGTTTATTCGCAGGTATTCCATTATTCCCGTATTCCCGAGTCCCTGACGGCCCCCTCATCCACACTCCCTCCTTCACATCCAACAACGTGAGGTGAACGATGCCGTCCCTCTATCCATAATTAATTAATGATAAGGACAAGGTAGGACGCAGCAAACAAACAGCTTACACTCCACCACTTAGGCGGCTGGAGGGAGGGGGGCGCTACTCGCTGAGGTTGAAGTCATAAGCCCCCTCAATACCACATGGACCAGGTGAGAATGCACCGCACCTGTACCGCTGTTACCTGTCAGAAGGTTCCTTATGACGGGGCCCTCCAGGGCGAAGCGGCTCGGGTAGCGGGCGGGCAGCTCGTCCATCAGCTGGTGCAGCAGCTCCCAGCTGGCCTCGCGTGCGCGGGGCTGACGTGGAGCGAGAGAGAGAGAGAGAGAGAGAGAGGGAGAAAGAGGGAGAGAGAGAGAGGGAGAGAGAGAGAGGGAGAGAGAGAGGGAGAGAGGGAGAGGGAGAAGGGGGGGGAGGAGAAAAACAAATGGGAGATTTGCATGCTGCCATGCAATTCGGCTAGCCACCAGCAGCGGGATCAGTAATTGGTGACATGATGAGAGTTTGCTGTTAGCCGTAAGCAGTATCTGTATGTATCTGTGTGTATGAGTTTGGGCTTGGACGGGGGTGTGACAGCTGTGGGGCTGTTGGTCGTAAAAGTCGTGTGCACATGTGCGGCTATCTGGAGGACAGGTGCCCTGGCTCATATGATTGCGGGAAAAGCTGCACGACTTATTCATACAGGACAGGGACTTGCATCACAGAGGCAGAGGCAGGTATTCAGTATTCATGGTGGGCTCCTTGTCGGTTAGTCTAGAGAGAGTTCACGCACCAGCCTTTGGAGACAAGACGACCATAATAACCGAGAACCATGTATTTAGAGCTTTCAGGTTTCGATGCTAGAGACACAATAGGGCCTGGGGACATTAGTCACTAGGGCTTGGCGTCAATTACCTCGCCCGAAAGTTGAATTACGGCGTCCCGCCGATCGCGTATGTGAGCAGCACGTTGCTTCAACTGATCGACTAGAAGGTTGTCGTCTTCGTCGACATCAAGCCAGGGATCTTCAGGGTGTTGCAAACCAAGGAGTAATTTGTATGGCTTCCCGGGTGGAAAGCCCTTAAACGGCAAATCATCTACGGAACTTGAGTTAAGGATACCCTTGAAAGGACAAGCCAGCGGCAAACCTTTCCATCTCTGGAGTTTAATTTGCCGAGAACCTATCCCGCAGCTATCGCGGAGAGGCGCTCGCTGGGAATGCCTTAGGCTCCACATTTCTGTGACATGTGATGTAATAATGTTAAGGTAATATCGCCGTGATTCAAGGCTTCAGGACACGGACCACCTAAACCAACCGTTCGTTAACTGTTCTAACCGCCGATTGCGAATACAGTACGGGAGTCGAAGACCTGCAAAGCTTTAAATCTTTGTGGATCGGCACAAATCGACCAGTGCAATAAATGTTTAAATGGAAGTGCAATAACACCGGTGCGCTCCGCGGGCGGCTTGGTTACTTTCATTGCTACCGCTCATTATTGCGCTCGCCAATGATCGGCAGAAAATTTGTAATAGTAGTGGTAGGAGGAGTTCTTTCTTTGTGGTCTCTATTGGGAAGAAGGCCAATGATGCCGTACAGCCTCTATAGGGAAGAATGTAACGCCGAGGTCGTTTGACCGGTTGGTCTCGATACCAAAATTGTAACAAAGCTCGGCAGTTGGCGAAGCAGTTACAAGGAGAATTAACCAACAATGAAGGTGGTATTAATAAATACCGTTTGGTACTGGGAAGATTATGAATAGTTCTTGGATGTACCGTTGGTACGATGACCGTTGGCCCGGTGAGCCGAGATCCGCCTTACGTGTATGCGCCGACATCGTAGTGATAGGCTGGTCCTTTAGGCAATACATTCATTGAAGCCTAGGACTACAAGTCAGTATAAAACTAGTAAATGTTGGCATTCTCGTTACGATCGCTGACTTACAGCATCGTGGTAATGCTGGCCATGACCACGTCGGGAGGTACGCATGGCAACGTTACTGCTCACTGATGTGAATTAACATTCCTCAAGTCTCTTCTTTGATATGCCTTATTGATTCTCAGGTCATGGTGGAGAGGAAGAACGAGGCAGCCGGAAACTGGCGATGCGCCCTCACCGCCGCCGGTCTCACGTCTGGCTATTAATCGTCGTTGTGTTCCTCGCCTTCGGGTTCATACTTGCAGACGCAACACGTTCAGGGGTGCCGGATAGGACAGGGCGAGGCGAAACCGGGGCTGCCAAGGGCCTTACACTACTGCAGAATGTGAGAGCAACAATAATAAGCTCCAATAGTGTAGGCAGAATGCCGGAACTATGGAGCTGTCAGCTGAAATAGTAAATTCGAAGCCATACGGCTGCCGTACATAACCTAGCTTAGAGGCTATATTCGCTTTACTCCTGCCGCATCTAAGCTACAATTTTCTTGCCCGCTTGTCCGTGGTGCCAAAGGATCTTGTATGAGGTTGGAGCCAGAGCCAGAAGGCCCAGGTAGGAGAAGCCCAGGTAGAAGAAGCCAAGCCCGCCTCATAGAATTGTTGTAGTGTCATTCCCAAGTTTGCTGCCAGCTGTGCATGTGTTGCCTCTAACAAATATTTCACAATCGGAAAGGATCAGAAAGATGAGAGCAAGGGACAGTGTGGATGCACCTAGCATGACATGCAGACATGTACATAGAACATTCATGTGTGCTTCTGATTGCATTAATGGTCACATTCGTTTCCATGTGGAGATGTACATGGATGTTGCTGTGTTAGTTTACGAGTCCAACTGATTCTCTGCCTGGTTTGGGAGGTGGGCTGTTTCTTCAATGTCTGCTAGGAGGTCTGCCAGGACACCCTGCAGGGTCGAGGAGTTCGGTTTCAGGTGGAACATGAGGGTTGAAGTGGTCTTCGTGAAGCTGTACCATTAAAGTAGACTTCGTACGCTTGAATGCGGAAAAACAGCTCGCGATGGCTCCACTGCGACAATGCTACACAAGCCCGCGGCGCTCTTATAAATAAGCAAGCATGTCCCTTATATCTATAATAGCTTATTGGGTGCCACAACGCGTGTGAAAACGTCACATAGGTTTGCCGACGACAGACTAACAACGCGAGCTGTTTTTCCGCATTCAAGCGTACGAAGTCTACTTTAATGGTACAGCTTCACGAAGACCACTTCAACCCTCATGTTCCACCTGAGACCGAACTCCTCGACCCTGCAGGGTGTCCTGGCAGACCTATTAGCAGACATTGAAGAAACAGCCCACCTCCCAAACCAGGCAGAGAATCAGTTGGACTCGTAAACTAACACAGCAACATCCATGTACATCTCCACATGGAAACGAATGTGACCATTAATGCAATCAGAAGCACACATGAATGTTCTATGTACATGTCTGCATGTCATGCTAGGTGCATCCACACTGTCCCTTGCTCTCATCTTTCTGATCCTTTCCGATTGTGAAATATTTGTTAGAGGCAACACATGCACAGCTGGCAGCAAACTTGGGAATGACACTACAACAATTCTATGAGGCGGGCTTGGCTTCTTCTACCTGGGCCTTCTGGCTCTGGCTCCTACCTCAAACAAGATCCTTTGGCACCACGGACAAGCGGGCAAGAAAACTACCTGAACGACATGGGTGTGCTTCCCAAACACTGGCCAAGTACCTACCAATTTCTTGCAAGAAGCCAGTGACCTAATCTCGGAAAAGACGGCGGCACATGAGGAGGTAAGCTTGTTTCGCAGGTCAGCTTGGGTTGTAAAGCTCCTTTGCATGCTTTAAAGAGTATACAGTACTTTCATGAACATTGTCCGTGGTAATTTTGCCTTGATGGTTGCAAATTTAGCAACTCCATCAATTGGACAGCTGCATGCATCAGCAATACACTTGTGCCAAGATGCATCCTTAACCTTTTGTAAACTTTGTGCCACTGTGCTGTTCAGTTCAAGCGCCTGCACAACGGCAAGAAACCTGCCACTGGCAGGCAAATTGAGGCCATGCTTCGGGCTGGGATCAATGTGCATGAGGACCTTACTAAGGAGGACGCCAGCAAGCTGCTGGAGACAGCTCTCCAGAACTCTGATGAGCCTGTGACTGAGCAGCAAGCCATCTGGCTTAACAAACAAAAGGTGTGTAAGGAAATGTCAACCAACCTCAAAAGTGTACAACCATACATAAGGTATTCCAGTAATTGCATCACCCATGTCTTAGTGATGTTCCCCTGACACCTACGGAATATACCTATTACTCAACTTTAATGTTGACCTGAACCCAACCCACAGATTGATAGCGACAATATGCCCAAGGTGACCAAGGCAGAAGCTATAACATTCATTGGGGACGCAACCTCCAAGCGGAAAACCGCCACAAATCCTCAGAATACGTTCATCAGGTCACTGTATCCCCACATTAAGGGGGACGTGCTCAACAAGTTAACACGAGCCCAGGCTGCACAAATGATTGATGCATGCAAGTCTCTTAAGCACAAGCATGGGTCTGGCGGATCTTGCAAAGGGCCTACAGCCAAGCGTGAGCCAGAGAGGAGGATGACGGCAACGGGGGTTCCGGTGGAAGTGGTCATATAGATGGTGGTTGCACTGATGTGTATGCTGAGGACAGTGCAGGCAGCCTGAATCTGCAAGTGGTGCAAAAATCCACGCGTCTGGTGCACCTGGCAAAACAACAGGTACCACAACCACACGTTCATGTTTGTCTCTCATGTTAGGAGTTTTGATACTTTTCAGGAAGCCACTTACCACAAGCGATGGAACTGGCCACTCCACTGCTGTGTGATAAGGGGCTTCCTGTGAGGTGAAATTCTTCCCACAAAAGCTTGAAATTTTATTAATTTACCCCAAATGCATTTATTGCTTTATTACGTTTTGCATCTAGACAAATGCACTGTGTTACATGTATTTGTGACTGATCTGTGCTGCAATGCTCAGAAAAGAGTTCGTGTTTGATGTTTTTTAAAGATACGGTGTTGCTGGGATGCTCCAAGTCATAATTAATACTTCACGTCGTCCTTGCATTTCTTGCGACGAAATTCGGTGCAAAGATGTTGGTGGTGGGTTACTCGCCTGAGAAAGAATAGGCCGCCTATTTGCGGCATTTCGAGCTTTGTTAATTAGCGATTGCTAATAGCATTAATACATTTCGTCATTACTAACATCAAATAAGCCAGTTATTCCATTTACGCACAAATGTACTTCAACACATGAAAACACATGCGAATGCATACGGAACCATCGTCAAACCTACACCTGCTTTACATGTTTCAACCATACAATCACCAAACGCCCCCACCAAAGAAACCATCAAGATCCTACACTTCGCCACGGATGCGCCATCACAATATTGTAACAGATACATAACGAATAGATGGCCCAATAAGGAGCTCTTGACAGTTTAGATCGGGAGGACTAACAGCTGAACTCAACTGTAATCACAAAAGTAAATGCTCCATTCTCCATGCTGACATTTTCCTTTCACTTCGTCAATTGCTTATACTTTACTGTTGCTGCAACAACTAGCAATATGAGGGCAATGCAAAAAAAACCAGTTTCAATCATTGGAAAAGGCACACAGCCCACATGCTTGCTAATGCCAGCCGATAAAAACTTTCGCCTAAAACTTTCCAAGAACAAGGGGCAGGAGAGAGGGGAAAGTGTGGGGAAGGGGGGCGGCAGCCCCACGTCCCCGCACATCCCCCCCAAGACCACCTGGCCACCGACATGCAATCATGATAGGGATGAGCGGGAGCCAAAGGAAACATTTAAAAGCATGATAATGTACTTGAGTATACCATAACAGCTTTGCTGTCTAGGGACGTTTCTGTTGTAGTGCTGCGTTGGTTTGCTTTCTGTGTGGGATCAGCCACCACCCGCCACCTGCCGAGGATGACGCAAAGACAGACAGTCCAGAGGGAAGTACAGAAAGCAGCAGCAGCAGGCGGAAGGGTGAGAGGGAAACAATTAGTACTACACCTTGGGTGATTATTTAGATAAAGAAACCTCCTCCCCGGGCATGGAAGTGGTGGGCAGTTTAGTTTGATGCGGGCCATTACTTGATGGTTGCATGGTTGCAAGGCAGGTCATCCGTGGCGATGGCGGTGGCGTCCAATGATTATGTCCCCCGGCGCATCGGCCGTCGGTCTCATCCCTGTGTGCCGCGCTCTCCCGCGTTGTCGCCCTCCCTCCCTCCTTCGTTTAAAAGGCTCCTGTGTCCATCGCACGCTATACCCTCAAATGTCACATGTCTCAACAGCCTCAAGGAAAAGAGTGACTGGTTGCTGGACGCGGCCGATGAGCACGTAAATGTACCCAATTTGTAGTAAACGTGGTATCGGTTCCGAGTCGGGAAGCAAGCAAGCATGCACAGTGGTGCTTAGGACTCAAGAAGACCAATAAATTGCGTTTTACACAATAAAACATATATTATAACAGTCGAATCGCTGCTCCGGAAGTCATCTCGGGGACTGTAGTATTTTGCGAGCTCACAACCGTGAGCCCTTTCAGTCATCTCTTGCTTTTGTTTCCGTCATCATAAGACTTATCATCATAACGACTGCCGCACGAAGCCAAATAGGAGGCCTGATCAACGGCTGGATTGTCCTAAGGCCAACCGAAAGAACTATCGTGCGCCATTCGGCTCTTGCTCCTCCTCGTCCTCTTCATCCTCAAATCGGCTCGGGTCGTCTCCCACCAGCTGCGTTCGGCAATAACGGAAAGACATTAGTTACGTTTGCAAATCTTGTCTACAAGGCGCGGTTGTGGTTGAACATGAAAATGTTGTGTAAGCCTTCCTGACGCAACAAAGGACGCTAAATGCAAAGTACAAACGAACTAAAATAACCAGTGTACAAGACGCAATCCACAATTACCAGCGCCGAGAAACACAAAACATGGAACACATTCTCCCTCTTCGGTCACCGCGCCTCCTTCGCCGCTTCTGCTTCATCCTCTCCCTTCCCTCTCCCGTCCTCCAAACGCCCCAACCCACCCCGGCTGGCCACCCCCCGCACCTGCTCAAAATCCTCTCTCGCCCCGTTCTCCACCGCTTCCTGGCCCTCCCCGTCCTCGCCCAGGTCCATGGCCCCCTCCAGCCTCTCCGCCATCACTGCCGCCCGAGTCTGGGGATCCAAACCCGCCATCACCTCCGCCTCATCAAAGAAGAAATCGCCCTCCCCTGGAGTATTACAATGCAATTGCCGCGGAGCAGGGGGGCCGGCCGGGGGAATATCGATGTGAAAAAGAGAAAATTGCGACCATGAACTATGAACATCTGGCGGGTAGGAGGGAAGGAAGGTAAGAGGGGTAAGTGGGAGGTGCGGGTGGATGGACGGGCGGGTGGGAGCGGGGAGGGGAGGGGAGGGGGGCTAACTAAAGGTTTGAACGCCACACAGGCAGGTGCTGTCAGGAACGTGACATTTTTATTGTGATTTATTATTGTGCTTTATTATAATAGAGCACACCCGCATAGCGCCTATGCAAGGAAGCAAGCCCAGGATCCTCGTGGCAGGATCCCCGTGTTCATGACGGGGCTAGAAGAAGAGCTTTGAAAATTGGAACGAAAAGCCATATCCTGCAGTACCGAACGAATAATCTGAACCAAGTACATGTACTTCACTTGTGTGTGTGAAGGCACCAATAACAAAGGCGATGGACGTTATTGCATCATATTTTTCTCCTCTAGGTTGCCGTACTGCCGTACTGCCGTACCTTCCACCTCCGAGTCCGGATTGAGCTCCGCACACTCGCACAACACCTTGAAAATCTCGTCAACTGCCGTATAAAGGTAAGAGTCAGTGGGTGTGGGTGTGAGAGCACTCAAGGAGGCCACATCCCTTTTCATGGAAACGAAGCGGGGAACGCTTTTGGCGGCGATGGTGCGGATCATTGACGAGACAGGCATTCCGCAGTGCGGTGCAGTGCAGTGCAGTGCGGCACACAGATTGAAGCAGTTGCTGGACAGACAGTGCAGGGGACGGACGCAGAAGATCAGAAGATCAGACAACAACGCCCGCCCACCCCCCACACCCTCCTCCTCTAAGGCGATACACACCGCCAACAGATCTCTCCACCCTCAGCCTTCCACCCTCCGTCTCCAGCGTATCACATCCCCACCCATTACACCCACCTCTCCCCACTACCCCAAACCCTACAACACCCATCCCAAATCCTTTCCACCCCAGCCCGCAAACCTGCGCACTTTTAGACTCCTCCGCGGGAATTAACCGGACCTCCGCCGCGACCTCCTCCCCTTCATCCTCATTACTGTCCTCCTCTCCGTCCATCATGTCTTCGGAGCCCTTGTCCAGGATCAGATAGATGCACGGCCGGGGGTAGGAGGCCGGGTCGCGGGAGATGGCGTGCACCATGAGCTGTCGGTAGCGCATGGCCAAGGCGGGTCCCGAGGCCTGGGAGCCGGGGACCCATACGACACGGCTGCCGGGAGGGAAGGGGAGACATTGGACGAGGTGGTGGCAGTGGTGGTCGTGATGATGGTTGTGGGGGGAGGGAGCAGGAGGCGAGGCAGGGGGGTGATGATGGTGGGTATGCAACGTGCCATAGGGAGAGAGTGTAGGAGGGTTTGACGGCCCAGATACGGCTTCCGGGAGTTTTTCTTTTTGAGTTTGACATGAAAGGATGAGAGATATGAGGGGAAGCATTGATTCCGAGACCGAGCGGCGGCGGGGTGGAGGGAGGCCGAAGGCGCCAGTCTTCCTGGACACGCGGCAGGCCACTTTTAATCCCAAGGACGAATTCACGAGAGCTCAAAGGCGCTGGAAACTTTTTTCAGCTACTGCTGCCCAGCCGCGGCGTTACGATGTCCCTTTTTCTGTGCGAATGATTTGTGTATGTATGATTCTTTGTGTGGATGTGTGGCTGCGCGTGGAAGGGACGTGGACCTGGTGCGGATTAGTTTGCTTGCCGCTGTGCGGCGCTTTCTGTTGTCGGGTAGGAGAAAGAAAAACTTGCCGTGTCGTGAGGTGGAGCACGCCTGAGCCCGCACTTAGGTTGGCTCCCAGGACGAGTTCAATATCAGGGCATTTGCACTTGAGCTCCTCCTCGTCGTCCGTGTCAAGGACCACATCCCGCGCCTCCGTAAGCGATACATTAGTGTCGATATCTAGTTTCCTGGCGACGGATGACACGTCAGCAGTCATACTGAAAATAAATCGTGATCCTGGGTCAGTTGAGCTGAAACAGGACCTGAAGGAAAAGAGGAACCTGAGCAATCTGTATCTGAATAAGACACTGGAAAGAAGAGAATCTCGATAGATCAGAGAAAAAGCAGAAACAAGGCACGCATGAGCATCCAAGTAAACAATGGATGCGTTAAGAAGTGCGCCTTGCGCTTGAATAATGCAGCCGGTATGCGCCGTACCAGGCGCTTACGGTACTCACAGCTAGGCTGCGTGTATCTTGTTGATGTTGCTCCTGGAACCCAGCTGAGTAAGTATAAGTATTAAACGCATGTAACCGGCTTTTATGTTGTGCTTCGTGCACACTTTTATGTAAAGTTCAGCCAATCTTCAGTCAAAGGCCTCGTCGGACTTTGCATACGCAAATACTTGTCAGAAGTCTCCAGAAATGCCCCAACAAAAATCTCACTTTGTTTCGGAGGGCAGCGAGCAGCGCAAAAGATTTCTTTGCCTACACGGCAGCCGGCAGGATGGCGAACTCTTCTCACAACGCCTGCGGACCCTCACAAAGAAGCTATCCGGCATCGCGGTGGGTTTTGCCGGAGAGGCATCGGCTGATTCCCGGCGCTCCGGTGCACAGTTAGCTCTGCAACCCCCACTCCATCCCCCCATTTTAGGCCCCTTACGAACTCAAGAGTTATGTAGCCGAAGCACGTAGATGCACATGCGAGGCACACACACGCCCTGAACCCTGATCTCTGACCTGCGTCCCGCGTGGTAAACGTAACCAAAAAGTATGAAATTTACCCACTGCACACCCCTCTCTCCCAATACTTCCTCTGCCCCTCTTAAATCGTCTCTGGATTCCATCATCTCAATCCATCATCCTGGTGCATCCTTGATTCCTAACACCGGCGCCGCTCTCTCGATCCTGATGGACCCATGCCGTGCCGTGCCAGTCCAATTCCAACCCAACTCCCAACCCAATGCCAACCAACTCCCAACCCCCAGGACCTCCATTTCACGAATGCCCCCCACGAGCTGCCCCTCATGGAGGGCCAGAGTGTGGCCATGAGGGCCTGGTGGCGACATTTGAATCTATCGAAACAAATCCTGGATCCAGATCTGGACCCTTATGAGGATTCCGATTCAAATCCAGATTCACCTTCGGACCCTTCACGCGTCAGCAGCGGAGGCGGAGGAGGCGGCAAGGGGGGCGGCGGTGAGGAAGCTAAAGCTGCCGCGGCGCGGCAAGAAAGCAGCGGGGTGGCGGCGGTGACGACGACGGCGACGGTGGCGGCGCCAGTTGACGGTTGGGACGAGCAAGTCATCAGGGACTGGCAGGCGTCGTTGCAGGTAGGACAACGGCCATCCGCTTAAAACTAACCCAGCCAGGAACGTCCTTAGCTCCTCCTCGCCCTGCCAATCACCCGCCTCCAAAAACACAACCCACACGCAGACACCGCCTCCTCGTCTCCTTTCCTTCCTTCATTCCCTTCCCACCTTACCCAAAGTCCATTCCTTGAGAGCTCTTCGCCCAGCTCGAGTACCCCTCGATTAGGGCTTTGCTGCCCTTTCCTCACTCCCCCCCTTCCCACTCGCCAGTGGTTCGCCTCATTCCCTCATCCTCGGTGCATTGCAGGTCAGCCGGCATTGGGCCCCTTTTTGCGTCTATGTTATTATATATAGCAAGGAGGCAAGCAAGACGCATATATCAATCAAGCAAGCAAAGCGTATATGTATATATGTACTACCGGCTCTCATGCAAACACAAACCCCTCTTCCCCCCCCCCCTTCTCCCCCCCCCCCCGTCCCGGAGGCCAGCATCTCGCCACTGAGTGGCGCTCCAGGGGACCCTTCGACGGAGTACTGGGCTTCTCGAACGGAGCGGCGGCGGCGCTGCTGCTGACGTGTCACGCGCTGACAGACCCGGTGGGTCAGTGGGGCCGTTTGGCGCCGTCGCGTGTTGACGCCCGTCTGGCGAATAAAAAGGGAGAGAGGGGGGGGAGCTCCCGCCCATCTTCCTTCCTGGCTTGAGGATTTGGCATTTGCCTGAGCCCTGACAAGTTTCCCGGACCGCATCGTATATGCATAATATCATCATATGTAGTGGTGAGATTCGAAGTGTTACAGAGTAGTAGTAGATGATGGCGAAATCTGGGCATTGCATACATTTGAATTCTGGTCTAAGATTGAACAAAACGCAGTGTTGATATGACTGACCGCTATATGATGATGTGTGGGACAGGGGGTCATATATCTTCGCCCGTGGCAGCTACCCTGCGAAACCCTGCCTTCCCCGGTATTTCGGGGCACCCTCATCCAGTCACCCCCTAGCCAACTTCTCAGTGGATCGTTCAGGTTCCGCACCCACCACCAGCATCCAACGGAATCTACCGGATCAACACGGCGGCTCAACTCCATTCCTGGTCGGCTCGCAAAACATGTTTATCCCATGTCACCACCGTCCATCAACTAGGGGCGCAATACCTTCCACCATCGGAAAGATGTTCGACCCTGACAGGTCTCGATCCCGTAACCTCAGGGGGCATCGGTGTGTATATATATATAGATATGTGGATGCTGATGCGGATGTGGGTTCCTCAGGAGACCTTCCCTGGACTCAAGTTCGTCATCCTGGCGGGAGGGTACGTCCCGCAGCCCCTGGAGCGACTGACGCCGCCGGGGCTTGCTGCTGGTACGGCTGGTACGGCATCCGGGGCGCCACGTGAAGGCGACGGAGGAGGAGGCGGTGACGGCAGGGTGGTAGCAGCGCCGGCTGCCCGCCTGGCGACGCCGCTGGCGCTGCCGTCGCTGCACTTCGCCAGCCCTGCCGACCGCGCCGTGCCGTACAGTGCTTCGCTGGAGCTGTCGGAGTGCTTCTGCACCGTTGACCGAACGTTTGTGGAGCACCCGCTGGGGCACTGTCTGCCGCAGAAGGCAGGGTACATCGCGGTGGTGACAGAGTTCGTACGGCGCTGCTGCAGCGGCGGCGGCGGCAATGGCGCGGCGGCCTCCGACGGCACCGCGGCGGCCGGCAATGCCCGCCGCCGGAGCGGCGGTGGGGGGAATAGCGCCGCCACAGGAACGCGTGGCGGAGCCGATGGCCACGGAGCCGCCGCCGCCGCCGCCGGTGCCGCATCTGACTCCGTCGCCGCGGCTATGTCGGGGATATCGCTTGCCCCTAGGACTCTGACGACGACGCTCCCGGTTGGTGGTCAGGGCACAGCCGCTGCCAGCCGGGGTGACGGACGCGCCGCTACCGCCGCCGGCACCGCCTGCCCGCCGCCGTCGGCCCTGTCGTACAAGGGCCCCGCAGCAGGTCAAGGGACCGGACGGGGCCAAGGGGGTTACACAGGAGCGGCGGCGGCGGCGGCGGGGGAAGGAGCGGGAGCGGCCCCGCGTGCACCGTTACGGGTCGGCGGGCCGGTGGTTCCTACTGGGAAATCCGCGACGGGGAGCTCAGGGAGCGGCCGCAGGAGCGCGGCCGCCGCTGGCGGCGGCGGCGGTGGCGGCGGCGGCGGCTCCTCCACGCGAGTCGCAGGCCCGGCAATGCCGCCGGCGTCAAAGCCAAAGCCCGATGCCGCGCCTCCAGCAGCGGGCGTGAAGAAAGCGGACCCGCCACCTGTACCACCTCATTCCGCCTCTGCCCCGCCCGTAGCGGCGGCGGCGGCGGCAGCTCCTACTGGTACATCTACTGCTTCACCACCTGCCAACGCAGCTCACCCCACCGCCCCGGTTGCGGTGGCGTCGCCGCCACCGCCGCCACTGCCTGCATCTCCGCCCTCGGCGGCAGCAGCTGTCGCAGCGGTTGAGGCCAGTGACGAGCAGCGGGAGGAAATGGATGCACTGGAGGTAGAGGAACTTGTGTCTGGGGGAGGGGAGGGTAGAAGAGGGGAGGGTTAGGCATTCAGGGTTTCATACGGATTTAGGAAAGGGGTAATCACGGAATACGTCAGGACAATCTTTCACTTACAAGGTGAATAGACACCCAGAAACACACACCCAGAAAAATCATAAAAACACACCTTTTCTTTCCCCTGCCCTTCCCCCCTGCCCAACCTTTTTTTACACCCCGGCCCCCCAAAAAGGCCATCTTCATGGACGAGTATCGCCCCATCAGCACTGCCCCGCCCCGCTTCACGATCCACCTGAGGGAGCCTGGATCCGGATCTGGCGGCGGCGACAGCGGCGGTGGCGGCGGCGGGGAGTGCGACGCGGGCGGTGGGCCCCCCTCCCGGCTCTTCTCCCTGACTTTCACGCTGCCGGCCGGTTACCCCGCCTCCCAGCCACCCCTGGTCGCGATCACGGGTATGTCATGTAGGATATCACATTGCATGTGTGTATGTATGTGTATATGTATGTATGTATGCATGTATGTATGTATGTAGACACCATACATGCACAAAGTTCAGCGCTTTCCCCTCGCGGCAGTCAATTATCAAATTTAGGTACGTGATGGCCCCGAGTGGGAGATGCCAACAATTTCACCTCGCCGTTCCCGCATACGCCGCAAAACTTCCCTCCCTCCGCGCGTTTTCCGTTCACAACCTCCAACCACCAACCCTCCGATGCACCCCGCATAGGGCCCCTGGGCGGCAATGACCCCCGACGTCATACCCTCGCCGCCCACATCGCCACCACCTCAAGAGAGGCCGTGGAGAGCTCCGGTGTGGGCTGTGTGTTTCAGGTGCGTCCGTACGCTCTGCTCCCCTCCCCTTCCCCCTTCGTGCTTCATCTCCCCCCCTTTCCCCTTCTTTCCCCTCGAGCTTTTGACGTCTTCAAATTTTCCATTATCGACTTCCCTTTCCCTTTGCGAGTTCTCTCTCTCTCTCTCTCTCTGTCTCTCTCTTTCTCTTTCTTCGCCCGCCTTTAGTCGCCTTCTAACCATTACCGTTCCTACTCCAACCGCTGCACCAACGGACACGTCAACCGACCGTTTCTGCAACTGTTGCACCCAAAGAGTTCGGCAAATCGGTTTTAAACGGCTGCCGGAGGGCACGATTTCAGTCAGTAAACCTTCCGCATCCCAGAAATAAGGGCAGCAATATAAAAAGGTCGCAATAGAGGAGGCGAGGCAAATCACGTCTTTTGGTCAAAATTTTGATCATTAGGGAGCCGCCGCCTTACGGGGGCTTAAGCCGAATTTCGGCTGCGAGTACTGTGGTACGGACCCGCAGCAACCGCCTTATTCGCCGACCCCTGGTTGCACTAACTGCACGCCACCGGCTGTGTTCCCCCTCAGGTGGTGGAGGCGGCCAAGGAGTGGATTGACACCCACCTGCCGCCGGACGTGGGGGAGCGGAGGGAGACGGCGGCACCAGTAGCAGGTGCAGCTGTAGCCGCTGCCGTACATCTACAGCCTCTGCCGCCTCCGCCGGGTGCCGTCGCTCCCCACCCCGCCACCGCCACGTCCATCCGTCAACATCCGCAGAGTAGTATTCAGCAGTGCGCAACGGCGGCGCCTGGCGGCGGCGGCGGCAACGGTGGAGCTTCCACCGCTGCCGCTGCCGTAGCGGCGGCGGCAGCGGTGGCGGCTGCCGCCGCCGGCCCCGCCGTGATGAACCTCGGCTGGGGCGCGACGGCGCTTGGCGTGGCGGCATCCACAGGTACGGCAGCGGGAGTGGATGCTTGGTGGCTGCGGGAGGAGGCTGACCCGTGGGTCATTCGGGCGGCACTGGCGGAGGCGGCGGCCAGCGCGCCGTGGCGTACGGGCCGTACAGAAGCAGTGGCGTTGGCGGATGCGGATACAGAAGCAGCGTCGGCGCTGCAGGTATGTACGACAATGCGACGCACATACAGGGCATCCCCTCGCCCCCTTTTTGGCATCTGCACCTTTCGCCAGTGGTTCGTCTTACTCCCCACCTTTACCGAAACTCTTCACCGCAGCCGCCTCTTACTAAATGAATCACCTCCCCCCCCCTCCAAAACATTCCCATTCAGACCAGCAACCCCGAAAACTCTCCACCTCTCCACCTCACCCCCAACACCCTCACTGCCTTCGCAGTGGGGCGAGGCGGACGCGGCAGGGGCTACTGCTACAGCGGCGTCCTCACCCGGCCCAGACGGCGGTGGCGGTGTTGCTGGTGGCGGCAGTAGCGAGTGGACTCAGCGGGGGCGGTGGGACTACGTAGTGGGGCTGGTGGGGAAGCCCAGCGCGGGGAAGAGCACCTTCTTCAATGCGGTGACGGGTGGGTCGGTTATGTGGGCGTGGGTTTTACGTGTGCGTTTTACGTGTGGGTTTTACGTGTGGGTTTTGTGTGTGGAATATTAGTGGGGGGGTGTATGTGTATGTGTGTGGGGGGAGGTATCCTTTATTCTCCCCGCTTGCTCGGTCGGTTGGATTGGGTTGGGTTGGGTTGGGCTGCTTCTCGTGACTTGTCACCAGTGTACACCAGTTTACTGCTGGCACAGGCTATTGGTTGGCACAACAGCTTCTGGGGACGTCGGTACCCTGTATAACCCTATTTTGTATTATAACCCTTTGCATGACATGCGTCGTACGAATCACGTGCCTCTTCCGGCCCCCGCTCGAACGCTCTACTGGTCAGTTCTGCTTCTTGTACACTCTTGCCCTGGCAGCAGCTTCACTCGTTCACGTGGTTCGTCTTTTTCCCCCTTCTCCCCCTCCCGCCTCGCCCTCCCCGTCCCGCGCTTTGTGTTTTGTTCCCGCAGACCCCGCCAGCGACGAGGACGGCGCCCGGGTGGCGGCCTTCCCCTTCACCACCATAGCGCCCAATGTGGGCCGGGGCTACTGCTTGGTGCCCGACCCGGCGCCCCTGCTAGGGCTGAGGACAGAGCAGTGCAGGTCGGTGTGTTGGGGGGGGAGGGGGGTGGGCATGTGGGTGTATGTATGTATGTATGTATGTATGTATGTATGTATGTATGTATGTATGTATGTATGTATGTATGTATGTATGTATGTATGTATGTATGTATGTATGTATGTGCGTTGGGAAAAAGGA